GATCATTTTCTCTCTCTCCACCTCAAACCACCACACTCACGGCCAACATGTCTTCGCATTCATCCGAGAGAACCGTCACAGCCGGAGGCTCCCCGTCGCCGGCGACCGGCGTCTCCCTCGCCGGAGCCCATCATCACGTCTCCATGAAGCTCAACAGCCGGAACTTCTTGTTCTGGCGCACTCAGCTTGTCCCATTCCTCCGGGGGCAAGATCTACTGGGCTATGTAGACGGGTCGACGCCGTGTCCATCGCCAACAATCGCGGCTGCTGCTTCCGGCGAGTCGGGCTCCGGTGCGACAACGAATGCGGTCGTTCCCAACCCCGCGTATAAGGCCTGGGTCTTGCAAGACCAGTCCATTCTCTCCATGCTGATCTCCTCCATGTCCGACGAGGTTCTTCACTTGGCGGTCGGACGGGAGACAGCGGCGGCGGTGTGGCAGTCGATCACCTCCTCGCTCGGGTCATCCACCGAAGCGAGATGTCTCAGCCTCTTAGGCCAATTCCAGACGCTGAGACAAGGCAATCAGTCGACGGCCGAGTACTTGGGACGCGCGGAGGTTCTCCGTCGAAGCGTTGGCGCAAGCTGGACGGCCGTTGTCATCCACCGAGCAGAACCTGTACGTTCTACGTGGTTTGCGTCAAGACCTGAGAGTCTTAGTCGCTTCATTAACCGCCACCAACAAGGCGGTGTCTCTACCGCAGCTGGCCGACTTCTTGACTGCTCAGGAGTTCATCATCTCGGATGATTACACAACCGGGGCAGACGGCAGTGGCGGCCACCATCCGGCGGCCTTATACATTGGGCGTGGTCGCGGATCCGGCGGATATGGTGGGCGGCACTCCTCGGGTCAACAGTGGCGTGGTGGACGGAGCAGTAACGGCGGCAGGAACAATCGGGGTCGAGGTGGCCAGAATAATCGTGGTGTTCCACGATGCCAAATCTGCCGTGCTCAAGGCCACACGGCGGTGTATTGCTACAAGTGGTACACGACACAACCACCGGCAGAAGCCCATGTTGCCACCGCCGGCGAGATTCCGGCGACTCCCGCGGCTACGTCGGCGGACGGATGGTACCCGGACACCGGTGCTACCGCGCATGCTACGCCGGACGCAAGCATGATGTCCCGCTCGGATGAGTATACCGGCCCAGATGTGCTACGGGTCGGGAATGGCGCAGGTTTGGCCATCACCTGTGTCGGTCATGCATCGATCCCGTCCGTGTCAAAATGTTTAAATCTGTCTAATGTGTTACATGTTCCGCGTCTGTCGGTCCCCTTACTTTCTGTACAAAAATTTACAAAAGAAAATGGTGTTTATTTTGAATTTCATAACGATTGTTTTGTTGTGAATGATTCCAACACCAGGGACATTCTGCTTAAGGGACCGACTTCCGGGGGATTATACAAGCTTCCGTTGTCAAACACTCCGTTTGCGTTCGTCAGTTCCCGGGCCACACCAGATGTTTGGCACCGCAGGCTAGGTCACCCGCATGGGGTTGTTCAGAAACACATTCTAAAAGATTGTCCAGTTTCGTCGAATAAGTCAACATCCGCGGAGTCCTGTACGGCTTGTCACCTCGGTAAGTCGTCCCGGTTCAAGTTAGATAGGAATCCAAAATCTAGCTCGAATGTTTTAGACTTAATTTTTACTGATGTATGGGGCCCCGCTCCAGTAGTTTCTTCTAGTGGTAATCGCTACTTTTTACTGTTTGTAGACGATTACTCCCGCTACTGTTGGTTTTATCCGTTACGGGTAAAATCTGATGTTTATAAAATGTTTGAACTGTTTCGGGTGTTGGTAGAGCGACAATTCTCGCGCTCTATCAAATGTGTCCAGTCGGATTTAGGGGGTGAATTCAGAAAGTTACATACAATATTCCAAACTTTAGGTATCCAACATCGGCAGTCATGTGCGTACACACATGAACAAAACGGGCGAGTGGAGCGCCGCAATAGGCACATCGTCGAAACGGGTCTTGCTCTACTCGCTGAAGGCTCAGTACCACTTGATTACTGGGACTTTGCCTTCGAAACTGCCACATGCCTAATAAACTACCTCCCTACTCCTGTGTTAAACTTTGATAGTCCTCACTCTCGCCTACACAAAGTGTCTCCTCCATACACGTTTCTTCGAATTTTCGGGTGCTTGTGTTATCCCTACTTTAGGCCATATAATCGGCATAAGGTGGAATATCGCTCAGCACCCTGTGTCTTCCTTGGCTACCCCCCGTCTTTTAGGGGATAGAAATGCATGGACCGTACAACTGGAAAGGTGTATATCTGTCGCCACGTTCGGTTCGACGAGACAGTGTTCCCTTTCAAAGTCAGATCACCCGTCTCGTCTACACCGCCGGCCTCATTGCCGTGGGCATCCGGGCCCATAGTCCCACGACTTGCCCCGATAGCCCCAACAACCAGCATCATACCGGTGCAAGAGGCTGAACCCGTGCCCTTAGCATGTGAGCCCCCGCCTCAAGCTGTCACGGCACCACCTCGTGCCCGAACAAAAAGGCGACGTGCCGAGCCCCAAGACCGTGGTCATGTGATGCGCCTTCGTCATCAGACTCGGGGCACGGAGGAGCAGTTTCAGGCTTTACACATAACAACTGACCCTATTTGCTATTCACAGGCTGTAGGGCATCCACAGTGGCGAGAAGCCATGGACCAGGAGTTCAATGCACTGCTTCACAACAGCACTTGGCGTTTGGTTGCTCCAGAACCCCATATGAACATTATCGGATGCAAATGGGTGTTCCGCACTAAACGCACAGCTGATGGTTCGGTTGAGCGCTATAAGGCGCGTCTGGTAGCCAAGGGGTTCAACCAGGTAGCCGACGAGGATTTCTTTGACACTTACAGCCCGGTTGTCAAACCGACCACCGTTCGGATGCTTTTCTCTCTTGCAGTCTCGTCTGACTGGACAATGCGCCAGTTAGACGTCCATAATGCCTTCCTTAATGGGCATTTAGCCGAGACTGTATACATGAAGCAACCACCTGGCTACGAAGATCCAGCACACCCGGATCACGTGTGTCATCTGCAGCGTTCACTGTACGGCTTGAAGCAGGCCCCACGGGCGTGGTTCAAAAGACTACACGACTTCTTACTCCTTGCAGGATTTTCCGCGTCGAAGACAGATGTCTCCTTATTCCATCACACATTCGGCGTGTCCCGGGTGTTCTTACTGGTCTACGTTGATGACATCATCATGATGGGGAATGATGCACAGTTAATCAACACCTTGTTGCAGCGGCTCGCGTCTACCTTCAAGATCCGAGACTTGGGCAAACCGGGCTTCTTTTTGGGGATCGAGACCATATCGACAGCTACAGGGTTCATTCTCTCTCAACGGCGATACATGACGGACCTCCTGAGCCGTGCCGGGATGCTTGACTGCAAGTCACTTACCACATCGGCGTCAGTCACTACATCAGCCGTCCCTACAGCTAGTCCCTATGAGAACCCGACACACTATCGGCGGATTGTCGGGGCGCTGCAGTACTTGACAATCACACGCCTAGATCTGGCTTATGCGGTGAATCGTCTGTGCCAGTTCATGCATTCACCGACCGATGATCACTGGGCCATGGCAAAACGGGTGTTACGTTACATAAAGGGAACTATCAGTTATGGCTTGCGTATCACTCCGTCCACATCGACAGCCATACATGCCTTTTCCGACTCCGACTGGGCAGGTTGCCCGATTGACAGGAAAAGCACCAGCGGCTATGCAGTTTTCCTTGGAACGAATCTGATATCCTGGTTATCTAGAAAGCAACGAACAATTGCTCGGTCGTCCACAGAAGCTGAGTACAAAGCCCTAGCGGATGTTTCGGCAGAGGTTACTTGGGTTGTGTCTCTGCTCCGTGAACTCGGTCTTCACTCTTCCGAGCCAGCCACACTTTGGTGCGACAACCTAGGTGCTACCTACCTGTGTGCCAATCCCGTGTTCCATGCACGGACGAAGCACGTCGAGATCGATTATCACTTTGTTCGGGACAAGGTGGCCTCCGGCGACTTCGTCGTCAACTTTGTGTCTACGAAGGACCAGCTTGCAGACATCTTGACTAAACCGTTGACGGGTCCCAGGTTCACGCTTCTTCGCGACAAGCTCAATGTTGTCTCACACCACCCTTGAGCTTGAGGGGGTGTGTTAGTACATGTTATATTATATAGTTTTATATTCCTTTATTTATGTGGTTTAGTTTGTGTTGACCTGAGCTCTCTATTAGTTAGGAGAGTCTCACGTTAACTTACCTTTTTATCTCATTGTATTTGCGTTCAGTTACAACTAATCAAAAGATTTGAATTCTCATTCATATTACTTCATTGTGATGACTAGGATGCTCACAAAATATATTGTGAATTTTGTTCTATCTGGTGAGTTAATACATGGTGTGTCATCATTGTGCTATGTTATATTTATTTTTTAGTTTAATTATTATGTAGTTCTTAATTAACTTATGACAAAGTCAACTAATTCATATTAGTCAATAATTTTTTTAGTTAGTACAATGTTGGCTACACTACGAGAAAGATCAATTCTCGATCCCCTCCCCCCAAAAAAGCATAGGTAAATTACTTAATTCTATTGGTATTTAATTACCAACAAATTTTCGTGAGTAAGACACTGAAATCTATATGTATTTACTATTTAAATTGTATCCTTATTTAACTCATAACTATATATATGTCATGAACATGAAAATATTTTTTGGTATAATTTTTTCTTCAAATTTGAGGAAAAACATATTTCACCATGTTTTGTTACTGATTTTTTTTTTTTTTTAAATGGAAAATGAATTCCTTGTTAAAAATTTATTTTTTTGTTATGGTCCACATAACACTGCGTAAATCATATTACACATAATAATTTGCCTCCACAATGCAATCCAAATTATGGGCCGTGAAGGTGGGTAATTGGGCCAAGGCAAATGATAATGATGGGTTTAGTGCATATACCTCTTCTTCTTTCCACCTACTAAAGCCGTCAAAATGGGCTTTTAGCCCGCCAGGCTAGCCCTAAATCCTAATTTTTCCCTTTCTGCGATTTCTGCCGTTTCTCCCTTCTTCAACTCTCCGTCTCACCCTCAGTCCCTCTGTGGCGGTCGCCTACTGCCCTACTCCCAGCGACGCAGCCGCGTCACAGCCGACCACCTCCGGCCACCCCCCGTCTCAGTAGACACCAGGTCAGCAGACACCCCTCCGAGTCTCCGACCAGCCGACGGCTCTATCCAGCATCAACATTCAACAGCACTAAAGCAGCGACCAGGTAATTTGTTTTCTATTTTTCTTAGTCTTTAATTTAATTACTGATTTTTTTAATTCGGTTAGTGTATAATGTATAATTGATTAATTGTATATTGTATATATGCTTTACTGCCTTACATATTTTATATATTACAGATTTTACAGTGTATAGATTATAGTGTATATAATTACTGATTTAGTGTATATATAATTATGAAGAGAGAGGGAAGCGGAGGCGGTGTATCACGAGCTTGGACTCAGCTCCAATTATACGTCCGACAAATTTCCAAATTTTGCACTTCAACTATACTGTCCTAACTTCATTTTAGTTCGGATTTTGGATATCCTGTTTGTAAGGCGAATCTTAAATTAGTTCAATTTGTAACGGAAAGATTAGTCTGTGGATTGAAGAAAGAGAGGTGAAAGATGCAGCACGATGAGGTCATATGGCAAGTTATCAGACACAAGCACTGCAGCTTTATGGCAAAGTTAGCTTCTTTTCTTTTTTTCTCTTCTCATTTTGTCGGCATATATTGTTGTCCTGATTTTATGAGCTCTGATTTTGTCTGAAACGCTTTATCCTAGACTTGAAACGGGGATATTTTGCCGAAATCCATATAACGTCACCGGTGTTTGCAATCGGAGCTCGTGCCCTCTTGCTAATAGTCGCTATGCCACAATAAGGGATCATGATGGTAAGGAAAAATACAAACCCCGCTACCCTTCTTGATTACCTGCCAGTTATCATCTCAAGTTTCTTTAGCTAATTTTTGATATTCAGTGCTTCAATTTTGGCAATTTTTGGACAAGTTTACAGTTTTTATTTGGTTGGTCATGCTCATTGCTGTTTGCATAGTTCTCACATGAGAAATAAGAAATAAACTATCTTGATTTTTGAACTCTAGTAATAATCTAGGCATCAGCTAATTGATTAACTGTGGCATTCAACATATAAATAGAAGTTTGTTTCAACTTATATAGTTTGCTAATTGCTCCTCTTGGAATGTTTTGCAGACTGTGTTTTTATTTATATTATTATATATAAAATTTCTTAATGTTGGCACTTAAGAATCATCTTGAAAGTTCAAATCATGGAGCATTTAGTTGATTTCTGCTAATGAATTGTCTCATTTGATTTTCTGAATAATGATGTCATGGGAGAAATTGGATTTTGCTAATCTTGTTTTATACTATTGATTCCAATGATGTTGAATGATGATATTCTTCTTTTCCCTTAATTTCTTGTTTCCCAGGAGTATTTTATTTATACATGAAAACAATAGAAAGGGCTCACATGCCAAACAAGTTGTGGGAAAGAGTTAAACTGCCCAGAAATTATGAAAAGGCTCTTGAAATAATCGATAAACATTTGGTAATTGGAAGTCATGTTTACTGGTATTCTTATATTGAAATTTCTACTTGTATTTTATTCTTATGTACAAAGTATTAACTATATTTTTCCCTCCCCTTCTATCTTGCCTGATCTTGTTCAAAAGACTTACTGGCCAAAGCTCCTTGTACACAAGACAAAACAAAGATTAACTAAAATGACTCAGATGCGCATAAGGATGAGGAAGCTCGCTTTAAAAACACGGTTTGTGGCCCCCTCTCTGTGTTCATGTGTGACTAATTATGTTGTCATGTGTGTGGCTTTATTTTGGATAATGCTCATCACTGAAAGTTAGGCTGCTGTCTGCATTTTGTTCAGTATTACTACAAATGCTCCTCTCTGTTTATCTTGAAAAACTTAATGATTTGTCAATTGTCATGAGTAAAAAGCTTGGCAGAAGTTTTTATATTTTGTTTCCTATGACTAGACGGATGTTTAAGATTTTTTAATGTTTTTCGATGGAGTAACTCTCACTCAGTGGTGACTGTAATGTATATAATGGAGAATGAATGAGAAAAAAGAAAAAGTAGATGTTAAACTTTTTTGCTGCTTTCACGAACTACTTTTTACTATATATATATTATTCTTTTCAATTCTGTTGAATTATACTATCTTCATCACAGAATATCAAGTGTATTTGTGTGTTCCTGCTCTTGAAATCTTGACATTTATTTGAATCCTATTTTGCTTTGAACTCTTTTAAGTCATAAACTTTAGTGTAACTAGAAACTGCATGACCTCTGCATTTGTCCGCTCATTTTTTTTTTTGTTTTGGGATTGTCAAGAATAAATTTTTGCTGCTACCCTAAAAACAGTAACTTTCTGCTTGGTTACTAATTCACATGAAATATAGGGTATACTGAGCTTACTTTATTTGTGAGAGGGCTAAAAGCTCTATTTTCTTATATTGTCATTGCTTACATGGAGTTTTTTATTATTTTGTTTCTAGAGAGAAGATAATGACTACGCCTAGAAAAGAGAGGAAGAGAGAGGCTCGTAGAGAACAAAAGGCAGAACAAGCAGCTGTTCTTGATAAGGTAGTACTCTTTAGTGTTTAACGTTTTATTGCCTCTTTTCTTTTTTGTGCTGAACAGCTTTGTATTTCTGTTACTCATGTCATTTACTGTTCTGCAGAGTATAGAAAAGGAATTGCTGGAGCGCCTCAAGAGAGGAGTTTATCCTGGCGAGATAGTCAATATTATCCCTGTTGCAAAGTACAATGAGATTCTTGATAAAGAAGCTATTGTTGATGAGGAAGACGAAGATGAAGAGGTCTACTCTTCTCAACCCCCCACCACCACCACACTCACACGCACACACACACACACAAAAGCCTCGTCCTTTTCCTTTATTTCTTAGGGGTATTATTATGCTGTTCCTATACAAGTTGGATAGGTCATAGTTCTCACCTCTTTTTTGTTGTCAATAATTCATGTAAACAGGAACATGAGGTAGAGTATGTCGAAGGATATGATGAATTAGAAGAGGAGGAGGATATGGAAGATTTTGGTGGTTTAGCAATTGAGAATGCTGGTGCAGCAGATGATGATGGTAAAGCAAATAAATGCCTCTTGCCATTACTTTTATTTACGAGTCCTTATCCATATAATACCTTCTATATTTTTATAGACATAGATGAAATACAATAATGTGGGTGTCAATGAAATACAGAGTCAATTTACCAAAAAAGGGAACTTTATTGTTCATTGCCATATCTGGGTCCTACGGTTTTATTGTCTAACCATAATACTATTTTGCTGATGGAACTTCTCCAAGATGTTTCATTACTTTAAGAATGTTTTTAAGCGTGTGTAGATGGGTGTGCATTTCTAAGAAAGTTTGCGTGTGGTTAATTCGGCAGATGAGGTGGACAGTGATGATGAAGAGACTGTTGCAATTCATCGAAAGAGGAATAAGAAAGAGTCTGGCTTAGGTTCAAGAAAGCATGGGAGTGATGAACCGAGTGTCAAAGCTAAGAAGAAAGCAAAAGTACTTGTTGAGGTAAAAACACACGTCAACTTCATTCATCCTTGCGTCCTTCATTTTTCCCATGCAACCGTCTTATCTGTTTTTCTTTTCCCCACTAGGTTGAGCATGAAGATGGAGGTGAAAGACAAACTGCAGTCCAATGAAAGAATGTATGTTTTTTATACTTATCGTACTTGCCAGAAATTAAGGTGGTTCATATCCAAGTTATACCCAATTGTTTGTCCGACTTTCTTCAGTAGCTAGTAATATGATGGTTAGAAGAGTTGTCCCAGAAGATGTGTCTGGTAATTTTGGTTCTCTTCCGGATACTGCACTGTATGACAAATTTTGTTCCCTTAGTTTCTGTTTATTTTCTCTTTATCTGAATTTTATTAGTATTTGCTAATTGTTTCCATTCAACGGATTGAACAGAAATGTTGCAGTTTCTTGAATGAAAGTGTAAAATGAGTTACTGAAATATGAGCAAGTGACATGGGGATCATTCCTAGTATTAAATTTTTATACTATATGATATGATATGGTTTGTCAATGAATATTTAAAAAAAAAAAAACTGTATAATATAAATTCTACATTTATGACTTTTTTTAAAAAAATTATATATATATGGATATAACTATAATTTTAACATTGAACATTTATTTTTTTTACACAATAAAAGACTAATAATTTTATAAGGGTCATTACTTTTAGCTCTTAAATTGTTAATGAAGTGGTATTTTTTGTCCCTAAAAGAAATATTACATGAAATACAATAACAAGAAACCAAATTAAAATGTCATATAATGTGCTGGTCTGTAAATGGGTAGGTTCGGAATTGCTCCCTTGCCGGATGTAAGAGAAAACTATCCCAATTTTCTGGGTTAACATTGATAACTAGGTCGGTCCAAATGAATTATTAATCTATCAAAAAAGCCCAATTTTTAAGGATAAGTGGAACTAAATTTATTAAAACCACACTATTCAAATAGATTATTATTCTGTCAAAAAAAAAAAGAAGTCAAATTTGATTTCGGTAACTTAAATTGGCTTACATCTTTGCGATCCTTTAGTAGTTATGATCATAAGATGAAATATATATATAATAATGACGAGTTTCTCACATCATCCAAAAAAAAGCATAATATATTATATAATTTGTTTGTCAAAGGTTACGTGGCCATTCAATTGGATGGGCGTATAGCAGGCCCAAGCGTCGCGCCGGCAAAAACGATGAATACGTACGGACTTTTCTCCCGACACCACGCCGCACATGTTTGAACATAAACTATATGGGAAGAAAATCTCCTCTCCTATGTAAGTAAAGGGCGTATGGTTGGTGCCCCCGCCCAACATTACTAATCATCATCACTTTCTTTATTTCATCTCTCACATGTTATGTACACATCCATCATTAAATAACACAAAACATAGGAGCAGCGCAGCTGATGTGTTCCTCTCAACTTTCCCCACCCTCACTTTTGTGTTTCATACACTATAATAAAATAATAAAATTACAAACTTCATATTTTAATTAAACCTACATTTCATCAATTTTTAAATGAGAGCAAACGAGTGGATATTATTTTTTTACTTTCCTCATTTAATATTCATTATCACCCATGAATATTAATATTAAAATTTGGTTAGTTAAGATATCGTGGTTGGAAATTTCATTTTACTTTTTTAAATAATTGATGATGATTTGTTAATTTGAAATACTTAAATCATATCCCTATTGTTTTTTTTTTTTTTTTTTTTTTAATTTTTTGAGAAAGTAACCTTAATGCATTAAATCATAGACAAGTTACAAGATAAACTGGTGGCATATCCAACCACTCATAACAATCTGGCATAGAAACAGCCGCCCGGGCAAGAACGTGGGCAGCCTGATTCGCAGACCGTTTTGCAAAACAGAATTCGACATCATTAATGGAAGATGCCAATTCTTTTATATCTCCTACCAAAAAGCCAAAAGAAGAAGAAAAAGGTTCAACGACTATGGCATTAAAAAGCAATTGTGAATCGGTCTCAACATCAACTGAACCCATACCCGTATTTCTAAGCCAAGTTAGAACTTCTCGAACACATAGGGCCTCTGCCTCTTTAACATCATAAGCCACGTCCATGCTTTGAGTCTTGGCCGCCAGAAAACGCCCATCATCATCCCTTAGTATCCACCCGAGGCCCGTCCGACCATTCTGGCTATCAATAGAAGCATCTGTATTCATCTTCAACCTGCCCCTTCTCGGCCTTCTCCACCTTTCCGTAACCCTCTCCCCCTGCTGCACCCCATCACCTTCCTGCGCTGCACACCAATTTTCCCAGTACACCATTGTCCGGCGCAACACCAACTCCATATCCCACGGTTTTGCATTCCACACTGAGTCATTCCTGCTAGTCCACAAGCCCCAACATAACATCATAAATTTACACAATTGGTCCCCATGCAGTAAAGTAGCGCACTTAAAGAGCCATTCACTTACATCGCCAGCAGACACATTACGTACTGGGAGTCCTAGTTTCCTCCATGCCATCCTCGTTTCACGGCAAGCAGCAAAAAGATGGTATGAGCTTTCATACTCATTCCTGCACATATGACACATCAAATTACAATCAACATGCCTCAACGTCAAAGCATCCCGTGTTGGCAAGTAGGACGAAGCCAGCTGCCAAATAAACGTTTTCACCTTAGGTGGTACCCTAAGGTTCCAAATAGTCGCCCATGGCCTATCATCATCAACATGTCTAGCAAGGCGTTTATAGCAAGACCTTACTGTGAAGGTGCCTTTAGAATCCCACCGCCACACCCACGTATCCGGCGGCTTCCGGATACTAATCGGAATTTGTAAAATTAGACTAGCATCCCTTATATCAAACAAGTCCATTACACACCCCACATCCCAGCACGTACCTTGTTCATTCAATAAAGACACAACCGGGGCGCTTGACACCGATTCATGCAAAACCGTCTGTACATATGGGCACTCATCATCCGGCAGCCATGCATCACTTCCTATCACTGTAGTTCGGTCACCCCCCACACTCCGCCGGCAACCTTCTCTTAGCAGCTGTTGTACCGCCATCATTCCTCGCCAAATATACGAAGGGTTAGACCCCTCTCCTGCTTCAAAATAGGATCCATGAGGATAATACCGTGCCTTATACACACGGGCGACTAGAGAACTCGGTTCCTTTACCAGACGCCATGCCTGCTTAGCAAGCAATGCTAAGTTCATTTCGCGCAAGGTTCTAAACCCCAGCCCTCCCTTACTCTTAGGTACACACAGCCCTTCCCAAGCCCGCCACCGCACCCCCTTCCATTTACTGCCGCCCCAGTCCACCAAAAAGAATTCATTATTGTCTCGACCTCCTTACATAAAGTACTGGGCAACAGGAACACCATCATCGCATACGCCGGCATAGCCTGAATAACATTCTTTAGCATGACCTCCCGACCTGCCCTCGACAAAAACCTCGCATTCCAACTCCTTATCTTCGTTAAAATCTTTTCCTTAATGAAACCAAGGACCTCCTTCTTCCGCCTGCCCACCAAAGATGGGAGTCCTAGATACCGGCCAGTAGTATCTCCTTCGTGAACTCCCAAAACTCTCACCACATCATCCCTGGACAGCTGATTTGTATTGGTACTGAAACAAATAACCGACTTCTCATAATTCACCTTCTGGCCCGATGCAGCCGCATAAACATCAAGCACGGCCCTCATCGTGTTACTTTCTTGCAAATTTGCCCTGAAAAACAAGAAACAGTCGTCTGCAAACAGTAAATGTGAAATTGGCGGTGCCCCCCGTGCAACACTCACCCCATGCAAACTCCCACGGCGCATATACTTGTCTATTAAGGCACTCAACCCCTCCGCCACAATAAGGAAAAGATAAGGCGACATAGGATCTCCTTGGCGCAACCCCCGCTCCGGCACAATCGGCCCAACCTGCTTTTGTTCATGTAAAACATGGTACCGCACTGAGGTTAGAGTTTCAAGCAAAATATCAACCCACTTACGCGCAAACCCCATCTTCAGCAACATAGCCTCAACAAAACGCCACTCAACCCGGTCGTAAGCCTTACTCATATCCACCTTCAACGCCACAATACCCTCACGACCCTGTGTCTTCCTCTTCAAGTAGTGGTGCGCCTCATATGCCAACATTACATTATCACTTATCAGCCTCCCTGGCACAAAGGCACTCTGCGCCCCCGAAATGAGTCTGTCCAGAAGAGCCTTTAGACGATTAGCACACACTTTACTCGCCACCTTATACAGCACATTACACAGTGCTATAGGCCGCAGATCCATCATAGTTTCTGGTTTTGCTTTCTTTGGCACCAAGACAATAAAGACCCATTAGCTTTGTCCGGGAGCTTGGTTGTTTCCAAAAATGTCCTGCAGAAGTCAGTCACCGCCCCCCTCGACAATATCCCAATAATGGCGAAAGAACCCCGGACCCATCCCATCCGGTCCCAGCGACTTATCAGGATGCATCTGATTTACCGCCTTACGTACCTCCTCCGAGTCCAGGGGCCTAAGCAGAAGTTCATTATCATGTTCAGTCACCATCGACTCAATACAATCAATTACCTCGTCCATATCCCCCTGCTCCAACGTATAAAGACCCGTAAAATAGTCCACCATAATCCCTTCCATCGCACCACCCTCCTCCATCCATACCCCCTCGGAATTCCTGAGCCCCAGTAACTTGTTCCTCCGCCGCCTTGCCTTAAAAGAGTTATGAAAATACTTGCTGTTCAGATCACCTTCTTTATACCAATGCTCCTTGGCCCGTTGCTTCCAAAAAACATGTTGTTGCTCCAGCAACACCAGGTACTCCTTTTCAATCCGGTCATACTCCACCATACTTGCATTATCCCGTCTAGACCTCAAGGCACTCAGACGCTGCTTGCACCTCTCGATCCTAACCTGGAAATCCCTATTATACGTACGCCCCCACCTCCAAATATCCCTCCCACACGCCTCTATCCTCGATAGCACATCAAAACCCATTGTGGCATCCCAGCTATGTTCCATAATCTCGCGGCACCGGTCTTCCCTTAGCCATATATTATCAAATCGAAACCGCCTCGGGGCATTCCTACGAGGTGCCGCCATCGGAACCAACATCAAAGGTAAGTGATCACTGTATGGTGGAATCAACGACGTCGCCGTTGCAGCATTAAACATAGTGAGCCATGTCTCAGAAGTTAGAATTCTGTCCAGCTTCTCCTCTACCATATGGGGCGTACCACGAGACCGAACCCACGTAAACTGGTGTCCATCAAACGGGAAGTCCAACAAGCCACAATCCGCAACTGCCTCCCTAAACCCCGTAATCAACCACTGTGGATGGGGGGGGCGTTCGTCCTTTCTTCTCATACTGGTGCAATAGGTCATTATAGTCCCCCATTACCACCCATGGCAAGTCACTTCGATGAGCTAGAGTTCGAAGCAATTGCCATGATTCCCGTCGCTGCTGCCGGTCAGAAAACCCATAAAATCCCGTAAAACGCCATACTGGTCTGCCAACTTCGTATCTATATAATTTGGCGAGTACCCCGTCACCTCAAGTGATGCCAAACTGTCCCAGAGGAGTGCAAGCCCTCCACTATGCCCAACCGCATCTACCACGAACATATTGTCATACCCCAACTGAACCCTCACTGGCTCCATTCTATTTTTGTCAACAAACGTTTCAATAAGAAAAAGAACTCTCGGCCTCTTCGTGCGAACCAAGTCCGCCAGTACACGAACTGCCGTCGGGTTGCCAAGCCCCCGGCAATTCCATGAGAGTAGACTCATAATTGTTGGCGGGCTTGCTCTGCAAGTCCTGCCATTCCCCCATTTTTTGACACCCCAGCTTCAACATCCATTGCTATAGAGCCCAACACCTCATTCTCCTCCGTCCTCCTTCTCTTCTGTTCTGAAATTACAGCCCCAGTAACACCATCCTCGTCCGTTCCCTTATCCCCACCCCCTCTCACGGCAGATTCCAACACAGTATCAGCCTCCATAGTGGGGGACCTCCAACTCCTGCGTTCTAAGGTCGTTTCGGGAGGAATCCACTGCTGCCCAGAATTCGGTACCCCCCGTCATGAACCTGCCCTCATCCACACCCCGTAGGGCTTCTCCGCCTTCATATCAACTCCATGCACAACCTTCGAGCAAAACTTCTCCCCATATCCCTATTGTTATGTACCCAACACTCCAACAGTGGCGGAGTAAGATGGGGTCAGCTAAGTACCTGACGCACCCCCCTTTTGTACTCACCCCATCTTCATTTTTTTTTTAATATCTTTAATTTTTCTTCTAAAATGCATCTTGCAATTTGTTTTCATTCAATTATGTTATGTGGGTTATATGAAACTTACGAGGTATCAGTTTGTACATTACTCCTAAGTTTTGAGCATTCCACAATTATAAAACAAAATGCATTTTTCCAAATGACTTGATAAGAAAATTTTAATTTTAGCCATTGACTATTATGAGATTGATGCATTTAGTTTTACTATTTTAATTTTATCTATTTACATTCTTACCTTTTATCTAATTGTCAAAACTTACAATTAGCCAACTATTTACAATTTTGACATTCAATCGTTTAATAAAAATGACTAACATGTAATTTTTTCATTTAAACGTCTTGTTCCAGTATGTAATTTTTCTCTATCTTTCGTAAATTTTTATAAGTGATGATGAAATTACATGTTACTTATATTTATTAATGATGAAATTTAAATAAAGAATTAGTTATGACAAACATATGAAAGTTAAAAATACTATGAGACAAAATTAAAATAATATAATTAAATATAACAATATTATAATAGTTGTAGGCGAAAACTAAAAATAAAATTTGTCCCGTTAACATAAACTCATTAAAATTAGGCACCACCATGTTTGGCATTTACTTTGGAATCACAAAGGTAGGCAAGTACCTTATAATCAGAGTCTGACATAGTAAAAATTTGGAGTCCATGTAATATAACTCTTTCTCTATGAAAAATATTATGTATGTTTACTTTTATTTTCTACTCTTAAATTTTACTCCACACACAAAATTTTGATGTAAACACTTACAGGGCGTTTGGTTGGAGTGGGGGAATTATGTGGGAAAGGAATTGTAATTCCATGGGAGTTGAATTACTGAGAATAAAGTGGGAAATTAAATTCCAGTGTTTGGTTGACATGAATAGAATTACTGGGAATTTCTATTCCAATGTTTGGTATACATGAGAATTGAAAGGGAATAAGTAGTATAAAGTCCAAAATGTCGATTGTTGTTGTCAAGCATTAATTTTAGTCAAAAAATGGAGGGGTAATTTTGACTCATCACTATCTTTTTTTCTTCCTTAAATCCCAGGAATTAAAATACCAGGGGGGGCATGGGATTTTAATTCCATGAAAATGAGAGAATTGCAATTCCCTCCAACCAAACTACGGAATTTAATGGCCTTTGAAATTAGGTGAGAATTAAGTGGGAAGGGAATTTAAAATCCCTCCAACCAAACACCCTGTTATATTGCAACCCACATGAAAAAAGTAGCTTATCAAAGTCACAACATCAAGGAGTAAAATTTAGAGAATAAGATTTAGAAGTTCATGTAATATAACTCTTTCTCTATTGCACGACCATGTGCTAATTAATTAATTCATTCATGTCTTTCTTGACCATCTCTTCATTTCGTAAATACATAATTGTTATTAAAACTCGTGGCTCCCAAGTCCTAAATCCGGTCCATTATAATTGTTATTACAACATCCAATAATATAAGGATAATAATTCATATTATGAGTCAATACCTCCAATGGTTCTTTGAGTATTAGAAATTTACCAGTTGTAGTCATCCGAGTTTTAAATGACCTTCAATGGTTCTCTACGTTTTAAAAAATAACCATGAGACATTCTAAAAGGACAACGGGTAATTATTTCTTAAAACATGAAGGATCATTGGAGATCATTTAAAACTCAAATAACCGCTGGTAACCCCCTAATACTTGGAGGACCATGAGAGGTATTAACTCTTCATATTATTCTTTATAACTTTTTATTTATGATGATATTGGATGGCAAATGTGATTATTTTTCTCAGGTTGCTATTAGTATTTTTTTTTTCTCGTTTGGTCAAAGAAAAACCAAACAAATAACATTAAAGAATCAATTAACCGTATGTAAAAATGTCAAGCTGTTCATGTTAATCACAACTAAATTTTTGAGATTCATAAACCTTGTTACGTTTGACTGTGGAAAATACCAATAAATAAAGAAATAACAACAATAACAAAACCAAATTTAAAATTTAAAATAATAATAACAACAACAATAATAATAATAATAGCAAATGTCATATCAAATTGATTGGAATTGCTCATTGATTTGACATATTTAACTTGACATCATAAATACACGATATTAGTGCAATAATAAAGTTAACTAAGAATTAAATTACTTAAAAATTAAAAGTATATGAGTGGTAAAAACACTAAACTTGTGGACATAACATTTGAAAAGAAAAACAATTATGGTTGTGTAATTCATTGCCACAACACAATTTTGTAATATGATAACCTAAATTATCCTAATATTATGGATCGGATATCATATATTATGGGAAAAAAAAGTTCCAATTTTGGAGTAAAATACAGATGGGCTCCCATGTTTAAATTATGTACTACATATTGGATTTGAAGGATTATACCCAATTCCCTACATATTACAGTGAGCACCATGCCGAATCTCCCAACCATATTCATTGTACTAAACAAAAATTAAAGATGAATTAGTTGCTTGGTAGCATTTTGTTTTTTGTTTTTTTTTTTCCGAATACATACAATATAATTTAATGTAGATTACCTTTTTACCTATTCAAGACTTACTTTAATTATTTATAACATATTATTGTAATTTGATCACCACCTACTCTATAAATTTTACATATAATCTATTGTTTATTATGTTTTCACCAATACAATACTTTAATTTTATTATAATTTGATCACCACCTACTTTATAAATTGTACAAATAATTTAATACTCATTGTGTTTTCGAGATTTACTTTAATTTGATTTCTATCCATACTACTCATTTTTGTCTTATCTTATACTATTTCTATCTTGATTACATTTACTCGTAGTGATAATCTTAATTAATCCATTTTTATTTAATAGTAATTAATTTATTTCTCATCATATATATTCAATTCATATACATTCCTGATCTTAATTTAATTATCACCTATAATATATTATAATCTTTTCTTAATCTTATGTTAAGTTAAATATTACATATAATATCATTTTATTGGTAGACATAACATTATTAATGATAAAAGATGGGACAAAAAAAAAATTGATAATATTGGTTTATCTTAGCTCGTTACTTCTTCCCAAAAGGTTGAATTTCCAACTTCGCCTCAACTGAACATTTAGAAAGATGTAAATCATAATAGTTCATTGCGGACAAGGAGCCTTCTTCATTTCTGTCACTAATAAAACTCAATCTCTGATCATTCTTTTAAAATATTATCTTTGTGACCAATTGAGCTGTTCATGCAGACCGTCTTAGCTTGTTAGTTGATAGGATAGGAATGCAAACAAAAAAAAACACGAGAAAATTAAGGTTAAGGAAAATATGAAGATGTTGAGAGGGGCAGCAAATAGCAATTAGCATCAAGGACTGGATTGTACGCGTGCTCTATAAGCCATTTTCTTCAATCTTCACCACACCACACCACTTCTACAGCATTCAACCCAACCCAACCCAACCCTAGATCTTCATTCTTCTCTACAATCACTGACTTTGAATTCCTATTCACTCCCATTTCTCTTCTTCAGATCTGAACTACACTTTCCTATAAAACCCACTTTCACCCGCTTCCTACATTGCCATTTCACTCAACAATTCTACACATTTTCATATTCGCTTGCGTCACTGCCGTGATTTTTCCAGATTTACTGCCCTTTTTTCTCAAAACCCGTCTTCTTTACTCTGGATCTATGGGGATGAGCTCAATTTCTTGGGCTTCGATCTATTATTTATAGATATATATATATACACACACCCTATACTTATATATATAGACAGATAGATTGAATTATATATAGATATACATAGAGACATAGAATTACATTGTTTATTTAGTGTTTGATGGCAACGCAATCTGGGAATGCGGTGAATTCCGCGCCGGAGAAAGTTGGCGGAGGCGGCGCGGGAGTGGTGGTGCACCACCAGCAGCATCACAGGGGGCAGCAGCAGCAGTGGTACCCTCCCCAGCAGCACCATCAAGTGGACGAGAGGGATGCCTTCATGTCGTGGCTGAGGGGGGAGTTTGCGGCGTCGAATGCTATAATCGACGCCTTGTGTCATCATCTGAGGCTGCTGGGGGAGCCGGGGGAGTACGAAGGGGTGATCGGTTGCATTCAGCAGAGGAGGTGTAACTGGAACGCCGTGCTCTATATGCAGCAGTACTTCTCCGTCGCCGAGGTGGTGTACGCCTTGCAACAGGTGGAATCCAGGAAGCAGCGGCGGGGATTTGATGCCGCCGGCGTCAAGGTTAGAAGGGCAGGCGGTGGCGGGGCCCGAGGAGCTCCCTGGAGAAATGAGGGAGTCAGAGATGGGAGAGAGAGTGAAGCCCACAATTCCATTGCTGAGGCTAGCAGTAAGGACTTAAACTCAAATGGAAATGGTAGTGAGAAGTTGGATGTGGCTGAGAGAGAAGTAGAATCCAAACAAGCTGGCAAGAAAGGTATCCTTACATTGTTTTCTTGAAATGTGATACTTGTTTGTTGCTTTATTTATATTGGATTTGCCAAGTGAAATATAAGGGATCATATCATATTTCTAATTGTGCTATTAGTAATGAGATAAATTATTACTCAACAACTTGTTAGTAATTGCTTCAGGATTATGGGCCTGTTAGCATTTATATTACTAAACCAAACTTGCAAATTGATAGTGTTGCATTTACTGATTTTAGTTGATAACAGGGAAAAATGTATAAGCCTTGAAATTGCTAGATTGTTTTAATAGATTGCTCCTCATAAGCTTTCTACTTTTGCAAATCCCCTTACAAAGATTTGGTCACATTGGGAGCTTCACATTGCCTTATAAAGATGATTGTTACTAGTAGTGGTATGAAGCAAGGGATTTGGAAGTGAAATTATATTTTTGCATCTAGATATTTTAGGTTTTTAGCTTCCAATTTTAGACATCTTCAATTTGTGTCAAGCTTTTAGTAAGTTGACTATTATGTTTCCATCTGGTTCATTCTGAGCATCACAATTACAAGCTGTCTATTCTAAGATACGTGTTCATGATTGTCTATGTATTTCTCAAGCAATAATGTGTTTGGGACTAACTTCAGGAAAGATAACAGTAAATAAAATCTTGTTGAATATGCTGTTTTTATCTCATCTAAGTATAGTTTTAAATGAACTTGATTTTTTCGCATTGTTTCTAAATACAGAATTTCACTTTACTTGCATTAGCTTTGAAACCTTGGCTTATCTCATGCATTTCAAACTATTCTCATTCTTGATGATTTCTGCTGGCACAGAATTTCCTGAAAGACCTGAATCAAATAGCTTAACAAAAAATTTGGGAAGCAGTCAAACTGGTGACTTGCAAAGTGAGGCAGATAAAGCTGATAGATACAGTACGAATTCTGATGGTACATACTCTTCTTATCTATTTTTCATGCATTTTTAACATATAACCCTAGCATTCCATGGGATTAGTAATATGAATTTCTAGCAAAAATAATTTTTCACCCATAATATATTAGTCACTTTTTGGATGTTAATAGAGTTTCCACATTCATGATCATATTATGTTTCATTAAGTTTTTTAATAACTTCTTTATATGCCTTTGCGTAACCTGAAAAATGTATTTGTATTTATAGTAGTGCAGTTAGATCCCTGTGTTAAGATTGTAACCTAATTTATTTGCTTCATAAGGGTCTTGTGGTGTGGAGAATGAATGTAATTCCACACAAGTACCACATGGGAAGCCGAACCTTACAATCACTCCAAAAACTTTTGTTGGTAAAGAGTTATGTGATGGAAAAATGGTAATGTCTAATTTGCTCTCTCGTTAATCATTTTGTCTTGGAATCTAATGTTTTACGTTGCGTCGTTGCCACGTTGGTATTACAGTGGAAAGTCATTTTTTTTTAATTGAACTGAAATGTACCCATTTTTCTTCTATATAGGTCAATGTTGTTGATGGACTAAAATTATATGAAGAAATAATTAGTGATTCTGAAGTTTCAGAACTTGTTACGTTGGTAAATGATTTAAGAGTTGCAGGGAAAAGAGGACAGCTTCAAGGTAACAAGTTGGACTTTTGCATTTTGACTTATTTTATTAAATTATAAATTCTGATATAATGTTTGCCTATCAGTTTTAACTATACATTTGTGGCAGTGCCATGTCTCTGTTAATTGTGATGCATGATCTAGTGTATGTTTTTCTAACATCATTGATGTCCTTGATAGGATATTTACTTGAAATGCAATACCTTATGGCTTCCTTGTCCTAAAATTTTAAAAATGTGATCCTCTTTCACACTATGGCTTCTTAAGAACTAGTATAAGTTTGATGATCTTGTGTAACCTCAAGTTATGGTATCAGACACTCGAACTGAAAAATTAAAGATCTCATAGCAGCATGGCATGAGACATCTGAGTATCTTTTTCCCTTAGGCATGAAAAAGAGAGGGGGTTAGGCTGGAAGAGGGTTGAGGGGGGGGGGGGGGGGGGGGAGGGGGGTGGAGCAGAACTTGGTCATCAACTTAGCCTAGTGTTTTTTAATGACACATTATTTTTATTTGCAATTGCAATTAAAATCTATCTATGGATTCTAAAAACATAATTATCTAGTATAAAAATAATGGATTATATATATATATATATATACACACACACACACACACACACACACACACACACACCCTAAATCGTCCTTAATAATTAATGAAATAATAAACAATAGCTCATAACAATAAGATTATTTCATACATTTATCCCAACATAGTTATGCATATGTGCTTATAACGGTAAACAAACTTAAATATATTTATTCAGATCCAATCTATTGAAGCAAGTTTATTTTTTATAAATACACTCATAATGTGAATGTAATTTATTGAAGCGAAAAGAACTTAAATAGTAAATTATGAATACACTTCCACAGTTACACCGGCTACGAAGCACATATTATCAGTGGGTTTGATATAAGGTAATTAAACAATGTAAACATACATTTTCATGACATTCCATGCCTCTCCTCTTACTTGGTGACAACAATTTAACTTTGTTAACATATACAAGTCCCTATTTCTTTCCTGTAAAAAAAAACAAAAAACAAAATTAAAAACTTTCTTATATCATGCCTAGTTCATAGATGTACACAAGCTTGCACATAAACTTTTGTGCATTGAAATTTCATTATAAATGATAATGAGATGAACTTTGATACAAAGAAGGTGACATTTTAATTGGCAGGCAGCCAGGCAGTTAGCTAAAATAATTAGCAATTACAATTATTAAAAGGGCAGCCCAGTGCACAAAGCTCCTACTATGCTTAATGAGTTAATGCCCAGGGAAGGGTCTAATATGTTAATTTTCTTTGCGTGCTAAAACTTTTAGGCCCTAACCCGCCCCACAACAGGCAATTCAGGGTCAGTCCACAGGTTATACATCATATTTAACCTTTGCATATATATTATGATGATGGTTACTAATGTTCATCTATGGATTGTATTGGTACTATTCTAGTTACTCATTTGGCTGAAAGGTTAATTTTGCAATAGTGGCGGGAGAAAATCAAGAATATAATGTGTTTTAAGCTGTTGTGGTTTTGTAAATCTAAATGATCTTTATGCTGTAATTGTTGTTATGTAAGTTCTTTTTGTGTTCTTTGGAGTTTATTTGGGTTAACTTTTTTTCTTGCTTGTTCATTTATAGCAACAAATAGATTAGCTTTTAGATGACAGTGAAAGGAGCCTTATTTTTTTTCTAAATGAAGAATGTCTCTCTCACTTTTCCTGCTTTGGTTATGTTACCATTTAGAATCATTTGTCTATTCTGTTTCATACTTTCATGTTGGATGTTTGAATAGTACACTCTTTTCTAAAATTGGTGAGATAAGATTTGTGTCATGTTCTGATCAACTTCTTTCTTAAGATTAAGGAAAACCTTTTTAAAGTGGCACTCTGTAAGTGCTAATTTTTTTTGTGTGATAAGCAGGACAAACATTTATTGTGTCAAAGAGACCTATGAAAGGGCATGGGAGGGAGATGATTCAGTTGGGTGTTCCCGTTACAGATCTTCCTGGAAATGAAGCTACTGCTGGAATATCCAAAGGCATGACTATGATTATTGCGGGCACTTGCATATGCCCCAACACAAATTTTTGCCCTTTACAATAAAAATAAATCTGGTAGTGTTTTGTGCCTATGATTTTCTTATAATTGGTATTCTAATTGTATTTGCAGATCGGAAAATAGAACCCATTCCTGCGTTGCTGCAAGATCTTATAGAATCTTTGATGTCTAAGCAAGTTTTCTCTGTGAAGCCAGACTCTTGCATGATTGATATCTTCAATGAGGTTGCCAGTGATTATATTATTTCCAGCAGTCATGTTCTTTTTCCTCCATAAATACTAAGTAGAATTATTGTTTTACCTATTCTGTAGGGAGACCACTCACATCCAAATATGTGGCCCTATTGGTTTGGACGGCCAATATGTGTTCTGTTTTTGACAGAATGTGATATTACTTATGGAAAAATTATTGACTCAGACCATCGTGGGGACTATCGGGGCTCTCTCCGGCTTTCTCTTGCACCAGGGTAGTTCTCTCTCCATTTTTTTTTCTTTTCTTTTATAAAAAGTTGTTTCTCTTTTCTTTTTTACCTTTGTATGTTAGGCATACACCTAATGGTGTTTTTCGCTTTATTGGGTGCAGGTCATTGCTAGTCATGCAAGGAAGATCGGCTGATTTTGCTAAACATGCAATCCCGGCCCTCCGGAAACAGCGAATCCTTGTTACCTTAACAAAGTCGCACCTTGAGAAAATCACATCTGGTGATGGTCTAAGTGCCCCTTCATCTATAGGAACACCTTCCCCCCACTGGGTTCCCCGTCCTAGCAAGTCACCAAATCATATCCACCACCGTCCTGCAGGCCCGAGGCATTATAGTCCAGTTCCTGTGCCCACAACTGGTGTCCTACCAGCCCCGCAACTCCCTCCTAATGGAATCCAGCCAATTTTTGTTTCTACCCCGCTTGCACCACCAATGCCTTTTCCACCCGCTTCTGTTGGGTGGGCCGCTGCCCCACCTCCAAGGCATCCTCCACCTCGCTTGCCAGTTCCTGGCACAGGAGTTTTTATCCCTCCAGGCGGCTCAGGGAATTCACCAAATCAATCTTCAGTATCAACTTCAGCCAGTGATGGTCTTTCTGTTGATACATCACCATCTGAAAAGGAAAACGGGACAGGGACACTAAACGGTGACATTTCTTCTTCTTCCCCAAAAGGTAAAATAGACGATGGAGATGTGCAAAAGCTAGAGATAAATGGAGACATGGAGAGTAGTGGTACTGGTGCTGGGAAGACTGATGATGGTAATGAAGATTGAAGACAGCTAAGCTAAGCTAGCACACAAACTGGAGATGATAGATATATTTTTGTTAATCTCTTTTTTGGGCTGCAAACTGTAACAAGTTTGAAGCAAAATTTTATGGCGGTAGATGCTGAGAATTGACAGTCCTACAGTCCCAGAGGTGGGATTTTTTTTTTTTTTTTTTTTTTTTTTAATATACTGTAGCTCCCCAAACTTTCAGCTACTAAATAGAAGTAATGGTCATCTCTTTTGCTTCCAAAATTATACTTAGTTGAAAAACGTTGTTTTGATCCCTTAGTTGCACAAGTTTAGAGCCATTATTTCTAAAACTAAAATAGCAGTATAGATGGGAGAAGAAAATAGCAGTATAGACTGAAAGTTACTGTAAAGAAGGATGGATTTAACCACCTTGGTTGGTGTGAGTGGCTGTACACTCTCGCCCCTTAAGAGAGGTCAGGAGTTGGCCAACACTTTAATTTGTCCCCCGCACTCGGGTACGAACAGAAATTTAAAGGTGTCTCGGTTTGTTTAGGACACCTTGTGGTCTAACAAAAAGAAGGAAGAATTTGTAGCATATGTAGGGGAGATTTCTCGCTTTTAAAAATATTCCAACTTGATCTATAGTAAAATGGAATGACAATCCCGATCGATCCTTACAAGCGAATTGAAGGGTGGATTAATTAGACTTAGCCCTGCATGCAATATAATGCATGGCAGAAGCTTGACAAAACCCTACATACATTTATATATAAATAAAGAAGTATAATAATAATGTCTGATTTGGATTTGTAATAGTAAAAATAAAGATGGTGAAAGTAGAGTGGTTGGAATTTTTTATTTTTATTTTTAAAATATACTGTAGCTCCCCAAACTTTCAACTACTAAAAATAGAAGTAAGGGTCATATCTCTTTTGCTTCCTAAATTATACTTAGTTGAAAAATATTGTTTTGATCCCTTAGTTGCACAAGAGTTGCACAAGTTTAGATCCAATATTTCTAAAACTAAAATAGCAGTATAGATTGAAAGTTACTGTAAAGAAGGCTTCCTAAATTATACTTAGTCAATAAACATTGTTTTGATCCCTTAGTTGCACAAGTTTAGAGCCATTATTTCTAAAACTAAAATAGTAGATTGAAAGTTATTGTAAAGAAGGCTTCCTAAATTATACTTAGTCGAAAAACATTGTTTTGATCCCTTAGTTGCACAAGTTTAGAGCCATTATTTCTAAAACTAAAATAGTAGATTGAAAGTTACTGTAAAGAAGGAAGGATTTAACCAGCTTGATTAGCGTGAGTAACTGTGTACTCTTATTCCTTTAAGAGAAGTCAGGAGTTGGTGAATCTGTCCGCACTCTGGTGCAAACGGGGACTTAAATGTGCTTCTTACAGTTAGAGTTTATTCAAGACACCTTGTGGTCTGACAAAAAAAAAAGAAGGAAAGATTTGTAGCATATGCAAAGGAGATTTCCGACTTTTAAAAACATTCCGACTCGATCTATAGTAAAATGGAATGGCAATGCCATTCGGATCGATCCTTACAAGCGAATTGAAGGGTGGGTTAATTAGTCTTACCCCTGCATGCAATATAATGCATGGCAAAAGCTTGACAAAACCCCACATACATTTATAGATAAAAAAAAAAAAAAAAAAAAAAAGCATAATAAAAATGTCTTGATTTGGATTTGTAATAGTAAAAATAAAGATGGTGAAACTAGAGGAGATGGGTGGATTTGTCCACGACTTGTATAGCTGCTAGAAGAGTGGCAGGATTGATGGGCTTGGGCATGTAGTAATCCATTCCGGCTTCAGTCACCTTCTCCATCTCCTCCTTTCCAGTATGTGCCGTCAGAGCAATAATGGGAATCCATATCCCCATAGCTTTCCCTTCTTCTTTGATGCGTTTAGTGGCTTCAAATCCATCCATTATCGGCATCTATATATCATTCAAAACATAATTACATATTAATCATTGCTGTATATATTTTCAGTCAAATGAAGAAAATATATGTACAGTAGTAATATAATGTTGTTTATATACCTCACAGTCCATTAGAATATAATCAAAGGGAGGTTGATGAGGGTGATCCTGTAGAGCCTTGGAGACGAGCTGCAAAGCTTCTTCACCATTATTAGCGGTGAAAGCTAGAGCACCCAGATGCGAAACCACTGTGCTGCATATTTTGCGTAGCATTGAATTGTCATCAACTACCAAGAATCGTTTCCCTGCCAATGCCAATGCTTTCTTTTCACTCCCACCTGCACTCTCATCTTCATCTTTTTCTTCCTTTTCTTTGTCAATTACCACCTGTATTTCTCCCTGCTGGGAACCTGCATGGATGCATCCAAAAACCAATTATATTATATTATATTCATGCATGCATTGCATACATAATTGTTGAGTTTGTCTCATATAACACAGATACAGATCAAGATGAAAGAATATAATACTTGATGCAAAATCGGGTAGAAGCCCCAAGATATTATGCAAACGGGAGCCTTGCAAGGGCTTGGAGACGAGGAGATCAGTTGAAGGAAGATGAAAGTCGTTATCCAACTTGTGTGCACCTAAAGCAGTGTCTATCCAAAGAACCCTAGAACAACCAGGTTGCAGGTCCTTGTGGAATTTACTAACTGCTTGAATCAGTTCTGAGAATAATGCGGCACTTGTGTCTATTATTATCAACACCATGCTAGTAGTGTTGGTATGGAGGGGCATGGTCTCGTCTTCCAATAATTCCTCCCTTGATCTCGAGGAGGAAGAAGATGATGAACGGGGGAGAAAGGCCTCACGTTTGATCTTCTTTAACTTCCGACTCAATTGTTTGTGTCCTTTGTGAATCACAGTAACCTTAACACCACGACTTTCCAAAAATCTCCCTATGATTTTACCCCTTTCCTCGCAATGCATGAAGATAACAACATGAGACCATGATGTTGATAAAGAAGCATAACCAACACTACTACTATTATTATCAATAATGTTGTCCAAGAATATGTTGAACTTAAAACAAGTCCCCCTTTCCCCATTTTCCTTGTCCTCAATCCCAATCTCGCCACCCATTAACCGCACTAGAGATAGAGCTATCCCAAGCCCCAGCCCATGCCCTAATTGATATCCGCCGGTTTCTTTCACCTGAGCATAGTTCTCAAACACTGTATTCCTTTTCTCCTTGGGAATCCCTTTCCCTGTATCCACCACCTTAAATATGTACTCCATCTCACCATCTTTTCTCTGCAACACCTCGGAATTATCATTTACTTCTTCTTCTTCTTTTTCTTCACCACCTCCTGTAGAAAAGAGGTTGCTGAAGGGTGCAAGACAGCCCTTTAAAATGGTGATGATAGGAGAAGAAGAAGAAGAAGCTCTTCGAGCTTTAGCAAGAGAAGGAGTAGGAGGAGGAGGAAGAGGAGAAGGTTTTCTTGCCCAAACACGAAGAGCAACATAACCCTCATCCGTGAACTTAATGGCGTTAAACAACAAATTACACAGAACTTGTTTGAGTTTGCCTCTATCCCCTCTCACACGCCTAAACTTTTCCACCGACTCATCACACTGATCCAGTATCACATCCACTCCCTTCTTTATACCCAGAGGATAATACAGATCCACCACATCTTCCAGCAGTTCCTGCAAATCAAACTCGTCTTCTTCAATCTGCATCTTCCCTGCTTCTATCTTGCTAGCATCAAGAATTGAATTCAACAAACCTATATGATCCATCCAACAAATAGATCAAAATTAAATTCAATTCAGATATACAAACTCATATTCCTAATCCCTATACGAGACAAACTACTTGATATTTTAGAAAGTATGACACCGACCTCCAGGGATCAATGCAATAGAATTGAAAGATAAACACCGAAAAGTGCAGATTAAATTATATCATGTAAAGCCTTAGCCAATGGTGTATAAGTTTATGAATATGCAATCAACCGAATTGAAGTTAGTAATCATTGAAACTTCCAATTAGATGACAGAAGAATCAGTTCAAAACTTAGTCGATCGAGAAGCATACCGGGCTGTTTTCGAACCAGAAGCAACCTTTGTCAAACAAATAAACAATACCCAAGAATAATAATGGCTTACTGTAGAGATCTTTGGTGCATGATTCCATGTGCTTGAGATTATCGTTGAGTGCAGAATGAGCAGCAGAAGCATCGGCATTGGCCCGGCACATCTGAATCAAACCAGCAATCCCAGCAAGCGCAGTTCTCACCTCGTGGCTTGCATTCGCCACCGCCACGCTCTTACTCATGCTCTTCCTCTCCGCCTCTTCGGTCGCCTCCTTCTGCTTTATCAGCTCCGCTTTCACACACATGTCTCTCATCAGTAATTCCTTCTTCCACCACGTCAACACCGCTACACATATCACTGTAATACAGATGTTGATCCCCAGGAGGAACATCCCCAGTTTCACATTTCTCTTCCCAATCCCTCCAACTTTTGCTCCTCCCTGCAACACATACATATATATATATATATATATACATTCGTGTTTTTTTTTAAGAAAACTAACTGCATATATATATATACCTGAAGGGTAGTGTGGTGTTGAATGGCGACCAACACCGAAATTAGCCACCCAGCAATCCCCGTCCCGGCTAAACACTGCAGTAATTTATTTATGCAATTGATGACTTCATATATATCCATTCATCACTCAATACATTCGAAAATTTAAAAATAAAATTGTCTGGAAACTTACTAGAGTCACGGTTAAGTAGACTGGCCACATAGTCTTCAGTGATCCAACAAACCTCTCCATGGCTAGCAGTGTCTTAGGTACTTACTGATCTTCCTCGAATCTATATGTGAGCGGGCGACCTGCGTGCAGGTAAACTTCATCACTCAGAAATTGAAGAAGAAACAACGTAACCATGAGTTTGAGTGTTTCAATGTCGTTGGAGTATGAATTCAATAATAAGAAACTAAAGAAAAACTTTCATAAAAAAATAAAACCCCAAGAAACAAAAGGAAAAAAGATACTAATCCAGTTAATGCTCTATCATATAGGAGAAACAAAAGATTTGTTTCCTTTTAAAATATGACATAAAATCATAATAATAATAATAATAATAATAATAATAATAATAATAATAAATAATAATAATAATAATAATAATATATATTATTATTATTATTATTATTATTATTATTATTATTAATTGCATTAGAGACCCTCTTTCTTAAACCCTAAACCCTAGCATAGACATTTGGTTTCGATATAATAATCTAGGTATATACACATGATAATACATATAAAATTCGATGAACATTAAAGAATTGATTATTTCTTTTCGTTGTTTCTTCTATGAATTAGAGTACACATATTCAAAAGGTTTTATGCGATATTTTTTTTTTTTTAAACCAAGAACTTCAATTAATTGAAGAAATCAAGAATAGAGTCAAACAAAAAAAAAAAAAAATAGAGTCAGGAGGGGATCCCTCCCAATACATCAGACTAGATCGGACACCAACCGCTTTAGCAAGCGCATGTTCAGACTGGTTCGCCGAACTAGGAATGTAAATAAAAACACACAAATAGCAATGATCTAACGTACTTCTATTCATAGCATGTACCAAATTGAGAATGTCAGACTCAATGCAAATCAGACCTCCATCCAACCTTTGGCTTTAATCCATGCTATATGTTTTTCATTCACAAACGTATCAAAAGATTTAAAAAAAAAAAAAAAAAAAAAAAAAAAAGAATAGAGTCAGGAGGGGATCCCTCCCAATACATCAGACTAGATCGGGCACCAACCGCTTTAGCAAGCGCATGGACGGGCTGGTTCGCCGAATTAGAAATGTAACAAAAAACACACAAATAGCAACGATCTAACGTAATTCTATTCATAGCATGTACCAAATTGAGACAGTCAGACTCAATGCAAATCAGACCTCCATCCAACCTTTGGCTTTAATCCATGCTATATGTTTTTCATTCACAAACGTATCAAAAGATTTAAAAAAAAAAAAAAAAAAAAAAAAAAAAAAAAAAGAATAGAGTCAGGAGGGGATCCCTCCCAATACATCAGACTAGATCGGGCACCAACCGCTTTAGCAAGCGCATGGGCAGGCTGATTCGCCGAACTAGGAATGTAACAAAAAACACACGAATAGCAATGATCTGACATACTTCTATTCATAGCATGTACCAAATTGAGACGGTCATACTCAATGCTGAGATCCATCCAACCTTTGGCTTTAATCCATGCGATATGTTTTTCATTCACAAACGTATCAAAATACTAATAAAAAAAAATAAAAAAAAAATCATATGTGTATTATAAATAATCACATATCAACTTCTTCTTTTTTAAATCACATTTCAACTTCTTGATATCATCGAAGTTAAATCATTATAAAATAAATTCAGGCAATTAAACAAAGCATACCTGAATCTATGAAAAACACACTAGGTTGAATTGGTATAAAGGAGTTGATATGATGTGATTATTTGTAATGGCCACCCTTCCTATTTATAGAGTTTGGTACGTGACAAATAATGTATGCACATTAGAGTACAGTAGATCATATTTCAGAAATTTAGATAAATTTTTAAAATTCAAGAGACCAAAAAACAAATAATATTAATTGATATTATTGAGAAATGACCAATATTGTTATTATCTGATCTCTTTGGCTAATAATTTTTGGAAGAACCCACCTACCACAGTTAATGGTGAATCTCAGGTTGAAGATCTGGAGTTATTTCTCTTCCAGACAAAATTCTTTATCATATATACAAAAATATATACTACTTAATTTGCACTAAAACATTACACTGAAATTAGAACTTTTTTAATTAATTGTAAATATGAATACAAAAGAAAATCAAACAACCTGAATTTATTTAATTCATACATTAAAACAGAAGATTTTGTATACCACAGTATTACAATCCCTGATTTGTCCTCTTAAAATTTGGGTAGTTGCCAGAGATTTTACATAAACGCGTAGATTTTTTATTAAGTTTATTTCCTTTGTCGAAATTATTATATGATTCGTTTCAGAGATTTTACATAAAAGCGTAGATTTTTTATTAAGTTTATTTCCTTTGTCGAAATTATTATATGATTCGTTCTTGTTGGCAAATCATATCGTATATCAGGATCCAGTTTGCAATCTTGCATGGTGGGGCCGAATTCGAAAAAAGATCATTTTATATTGAGTAAAGCAGAATTGAAGTTGGTCAGCCTATAGTGTTTTGGAATGCCACATTACTTGTTTCATAGTATTGTGTAGTCTAAATGCATACTAAGAATGAACTTGGTCAGTAGCCTAGCCAAATTAGGAACCATTTCTATCTTTGAGAATTGAGATGCTTATCTATGGCTCCGTTTGGGCCAGTGCGTGGTGCGTGCCTGTCAGATTGTATAAATATATAAATTATTATTTGTTATATTAATATAATAAATGTATTTTAATTTAATTCAAAAGTTTTAACAAATAAATAAAACTAAATTTATTTTTATTTATAATATAATAATTTTAACATGCTTTTATTCTTTATTTACTTATTTCTTTTCTAAATAATGATTTATTATATAAATAAATTTATTATTAAACTATATAATCCTTTATATAATAAAGCTATATGGTTTGGGAAATAATTAATGTTACAATTAATGCCACAACATCCTTTATTATAAAATTAAAAAAAAAACACACAACATTTAAAAAATAAAATAGCTATATATTATATAATCATATAAAAATATACTTTTGAAAAATAAATAGCTATATATTATATAATCATATAAAAAATGTGTGCAATTAGAGTTTAAATTTACACATACAAAATTTGAAATTTGCTTTCCAAATACAATTATCTTAGTTATTATTCGTATTGTGAAAATTATAATATAGATGAAATACAATTAAGAATAAATCAATATAATTATGTAAATTCTCTCTATAAGTTTATTTGAATATGCACATAATTGGAGATTATATTAACCATACAAAATTAATACTTTTAATTTTAATTGTAATTTTGTATTCTATAAAAATAATAAATATTTGACCAATGGAAGCTCAAAAATATTATTATATTAAATAATTTAAAATATTTTAGTTTTTTTATTTTTTATTTATATTTATAATAACATAATTTTTTCCCGTGCATCGCGCGGGTAAATTACTAGTAATAATAATAATAATAAGTGAAGTTTGTATTCATTTTGTTTTATGCTTTCCATTTTTTTTTAGAACAATGAAATTTTTTTTCTAGAAACTAAAGACACATGTACTACATAAATTTGTTGGTCATTATAAATTTGGATTAATCCTAACATTGTAAGGATTTGTCTCCTAAAGTGTTTATTTGGGTATTTAAATTATTAGATTATTGTTAAGTAGTACGGTACCGTTGCTGGTGTTATCAGGTTTTAAAGGTTAGCTTTTTATAAACTATATCAAATAAAATCCATTTATTTAATTTGCAACAATGAATATATAACCTCGAAGATTAGATTTATAAAGTGCAACACAAATAGTATAATATATTACAAATGGATGTTTGACAAAATCAAAATATTATTATAATCTAATAATAATATATATGTTATTTGATACGCAAATTTTGAAGCATTGGTATACGTACTACTCCGAGATCACAGCAGTTAATATAATATAAAACTAAAACATATCAAAAGATACGAAATTCAAAAGGGAATGAAAGAAATTAAATACGATAGATACGATACTAAAGTTGGTTTACTAGATAGAAGAAGTAGTTTATATTAGGTGTCGGGCCGGGCGGAAAGTTGCAGGATTCCATCTCGTACGCAGAAGGCGACTTGCATCCCGGGCCGAAGTGGGTAGGTGGAAGGGTTGTTGTTTCGGGCTTGGACGAAATCGGGCCAGTCATCGAGTACATGTAAGTAACCGTGCTTAGATAATTCCATTGGGTAGAGCGAGCTGTCTTGGAAGTCGCGCATTGTGAGGCGAGCCCATCCGTTGTCCCTAATGCCCGCCCGGTCCTCTTCCTTCAATTTCCACACTATCACTTCCTCCGCCTGCTGTATAGGTTTTAAAACCAAAGCTTTCCTTTCCTCAAAGTGTTCTTCGGTTAGCGTCATTACCAACTTGTCCCCTAATTCTCGAGGAGGGTTTCTTATTCCCGCCATCACACATACACTAAACCTGCAGATTTCTTTTCAACCTAACTTTTGATAATATAATTCTGAGAGATCGATGTGCATCTATTTATAACATAAATATGCATGCATATATGCATGTTTCTATATACTCTTTTAAGTATATAGATCCTTCCATTCTTTAATTAGGAATCTATAATGAGAATTGTCCTGAGGATACTATATCTGTTTTGTTAACTTTCTTAATTCTGAATTTGTAATGTTTTTTTCTAAATTTCGATCTTTAATTAAGTATGTGTTGTGACTCTTTCCCATTTGCATGTTGTCGATCAATGAATTAGAATTATATTGGTGTCACTGCGTGCTGATGACTAACATGGATCATCAATATAATGCAAAGATTAAGAGAAGAAAATAAATCACAAGCATGCAGCAAGATAAAAAGTATAGCCATGTAAGGTCTTGATCGAGAGTAATTATATTTTTAAAACAAAATTATTGTTAAAATCATTGTTTTAATAATTAAAATAAATAATAATTATAATTTATAATGATTTGTTTTCATTATTAAATTATATTTCATTACTCTAAATTTTATTTAGTAAAAAAATATTGACAAAATCATAAATAGATAAATTTTGAGTATTATCTATTACATTGAGCACAGACTATTATCCATTACATTGAGCAAATGTTATTGTTGATGCAAAAGATAAAGTATTGTCATGTACTAGTGCATGGTTCACAGAATAGATTTTGAAAAATTAAAAATGTTATTCTATTGGGAATGGAATAGATAAGGAATAGAATATAATTTTTTTTTAATTATATTTGGCTCATGAATAGGCTTGATTGGTTTAAGGTATAAAAATAAAATAAGTATTTAAAGAGACAAATATCATCTACACTGAATGTTATATGTGTGTGTGTGTGAGAGAGAGAGAGAAAGAAACCAATTAAACAATAATAATCACTTAAAATATGCTGATTTCGCAACAATGTTATCTCT